GAAAATGAATGACTTTATGACATGTAGATACCACAACCTGCATGGCATGCATCCACCCTTTTCCAAGGATGATGTTGTAAGTGGACGACACTTTTAGCACCCAAAATTCCACTTGCTTTATGATTGTGCCAGCTTTGACCGGCAATATAATCTTTCCCACCAGCTACTCTGGTTGGAAGTTGAAGCCAACCAAAGTTGAAGCCAACCAAAGGTGAAGTGGCTGGTGCTAGGTCCTTGTTTTCCAACTTCAACTGTTTAAAAGCATAGTAATACATGATTTCGATCAAGCTTCCTTGATCGATCAAAATCCATTTGATGTCGAATACATTAATGCGAAGCATGACAACCAACGCATCGGTGTGTGGGGTTTCGATCCTTTCTAAGTTGTTGCTTGAACAGGAAATCACATTCCTTAGCTCGGTCTTTACTTTCTTTCCGGCTGGTTGCATAGTCATATCTTCTTCCTCATGCTCTATCTTCTTTATCATTCTGTGGAGCTCAGAAACTCTCTTAGGTGTCACGATGCCATGAATCACTCCTTATGGGGCATCATTGTTTACTTGGCCTTCTAGAACGACTTGCTCCCAAACTATCGGTATGTCTCCTCCATCTATGAACTAACCTAAGTGGCTCGCAGCCACCAACTCCTCCAAATGTTCCTTGAGTGGCATACAATCCTCACTCCTATGCGCTCTCTCATTGTGGAACATGCAGTGATATTTGGGATTTATTCGTCACCTAGCATTACCTAACTTCACCGACCACAGGATAGAAGCTTCATCATGAATTTTGCTCAAGATATGATAAATTGGTATCATGAAGATTGTGATAATGCCCGTGCGCACTTTTAATTTCCTTTTACTTTCTTCTTGGTCATTTGGGGGATTGTTTACCTGATCATTGTTATTGCGATTATTGCAGTTGTCGTGGTTGTTGTTCCAATTGTTCATTTTGCCAACGGCATTCATTTTGCCCACTATACTCTTGTCTGCCACTACTGGATTTACCTTCACAATAGGTCAAGCAACATCCTCTTTAACCTTAATGTATTGGTTGATTTTCTCCATCAAGGCTTCCATCATTGTGGGCGACATCATCGTCAATGAATCCCTTAATTTGTGCCCCATGGGAAAGCCTCGCTTCTATTAGGCAATGGCCAAGTTTAAAGGACATTCTTGAATGTCATTGAATGTCTCCCAATACCTAGTGTTGTACTGTCAATGACTCACCTAGTTTCATGTTCATGATCAAAAGATGATCAACTTTTTTTGGCATTTTAGTGTTTGTCTTGAATCTGATGACAAACACCTCAACCTGATGACAAACACCTCAACAAGTTGTGGCCAGCCTGCAATGGTCTTTTTTGGTAATTTGTCAAACCACTTCAAACCCAACTCACCTAAACTAAAGGGAAAGACGGTGCACATTAAGGCATCATCCCGCCTATGAACAGCCATAACTTGATAGAAATGGCTTATATGTATGTAAGGGTCCATTTTCCCCTCGAAGATGGTAAACTTAGGTTAGTGAAAGCCTCTAGGTAGCAACGCATTCTCAATTTCTGGGACAAAAGGAGTGGCATTAAGCCTTGCCAACTCCCTCTCTATAAGAATGCGAACAACCACACATGGTACTAGTGTCACTACCTTAATGCTACCATAGCTTCTGGGGACCATTCTCTAGATCACTAGCCTCATTCGCGCAACTACTCTTCTTTGCACCCTTTCATCAAGAATGCTCCTTAGATCTTTTGATCTGGCAGAATATGAATACCTAAAACTAGAGAATGAACGCAAGGAGCAATAGCTACTCCCCTCCGCATAAGATCTCTCTATTCTGGGTGCAGAGGATGCCTTTGTCCTGTCGGCCATCTTGTTGGTAGAAAGCAAAAGAGTGGCATGCTTTCCATCTCCTCCAAGATATTGGGATAGGACGAACTCATCGTGGATTTCCACTCCAACGACGCCATTTTCCCTCATTTCGTGTTTCATGTTATCCATCTCCTCTATCATTTTCCTAATAATATAGTCTTGCTTCCTCACTCTATTCTCTAGGTAATGAGGGTTTGGTCGTCACCATTGGATGTGCCTATCAGGGCTCTAAGAATATTGTGGGCTCCGTTCACACTTCTCTCGCACATCTCTTGTGGGTCCCTTCTTGGGAGTATCTAGATCTCCCATCATAAGTGCAAAAGGCAGATTTGCATGCCCCTTGTTGGCCTCTAGCATCGCTCCAACGAGTGCTGAGATTAGAGGATCGTTGTTGGCTATTCAAACTTAGAAAACTTAATCACAAGGTTTTGTCTGGATTCTAGCAGACGGCACCAATTGTGCAAATATGGAATTTACCCCGCATGTTAGTACCTCATGATCAAGCCCGAACCTCTATGAATGACGTCATTTACCCTGACAACACGAACATAGTAAGCTTACTAGTTGGTGCTAAAAAATCCCTCTGATGCCTAAGTTAGGTTTTAGAAATCAATATGGGGAAAAAGATCTCTACATTTGAGTATTCATAATTGCATTACCTTTCTTACGTCAAACTCCAAGTCTTTTGCATTCTTTTGCACAGTAGAATTCTAGTGGTACTCTAATTCTCTTTAACATCTCCCACTAGGAGTCTATCTTTTAAGGATAGCACCCATCCTCAACCGAGCCAAGCAAGCCATCTGCTCGATTGCTCTCCATTCTAGTAGCTACTTAGTCATTCTTCTACTCATTCCAACCTAAAGGCAACTAAGCATATACTAACACTTACACCGCTCAACAACACTTAGTCCGACTTTCGACCTAGCACATTCTGCCCAGTCGCAAATCGAATCCATACACGTCTACCAAACAAACTTCATGCATGGTCCAACACACGTGTCTCTTTTGCCTGGCCCAATCCATTCGGCCAACAAACCGTTACTTAGTCAAAACTTAAGCTTTGTTTGTCTAATTGGCCCAAATACAAACTACATTTATCTGACCAGCCCATACCTGAAAGCCTTACTGAAATTAGCTCAGCTCAATACTCCAACACAATTTGCCCTCTTAGTAAACAATTTTGTAAATGTGATTTCCAACAATCAACAACAATGCAAACATATATTAGAGAATAAATGAAGATACATATAGCAAGGTGGAAGGAAAACAAAGGTAGAGGATGAGGTAAAAAGAAATATCTGATTACAAATTTCAATTAGGGAAGGGCTTCTCTCCTGTTGAGAAAACTATCTGAATGGTATTGTTGGGCCTCTGTGGCCCCACTACGAAGCTCACATCGATGATCTGAACCATTTAATGTGTAAGGCTTGTCGAGTACTTCATTCGTGCAAAAAATCACGTTGATTGGATATCGATAACCATTTAATCAAATCACATTTGTGTCAACAATTTATTTTTAAAATCATACTTACCGTTGACACAAATGTGACCTGATCAATTGGCTATTGATATCTAATCAACACGATTTTTATAGGAATTAAGTACTCGACAAGCCTTACGCATAATATTTGCACTTTGAATATATAAATACATTACACAAATAACACCTACACATTGCACAAATAATTCGTTCAGATCCTTTGGAGAGATTTTCTCTAGGGTGATAGTACAGTGCACCAAACGACGTCATTTTGTGCACTGCTCCCCCCCCCCCTAAAAAAAAACCAAACAATTACATTAACAGTTGGTGAAAGAGAGAGGGGAGTGGGGGAGAGAGTGAAAGAGAGAGAAACGAAGATGAAGACGAAAGAGAGAGGAAGAGACGATTGGCAGAGACCGAGAGACTGAAGGCCATGGGAAGCAGCATGGAGAGCAAGTGACCTTCGAAGTTCCCTCGTTCGCAGTCGTGTTCGTCTTAGCTTGGTCCAGAACTTGTAATCGGTGCTAAGAATGCGAACCTAGATGCGCTCTTCTTTGCCTTTGTCATCGACGACTTTGAGTATGGAACTGACGATACCGTGGACCAAGAGGATGGGGTCAAGATCAAGATCAACGCAGGGCTGTGGCTTTTTCTTAAGGCAGCTCAACCATAGCTCCACCGATTCAACTATGTCCTCTAACAACATCGTCAACTCCAAACCTCCAATTCAATTCAACAATCTCTCTCTCTCTCTCTCTCTCTCTCTCTCTAAGTATATATGTATGTTATATTATATGTATGTATGAAGAGTGAATTTTTGGGTAAATAAGGGATATACATATGAAATTGAGAGATTTTTAGCTAAGATGGAGATGGGATTGAGGAGAAAGCTATAGTTTGGTGACGGAGAGAAGCCGTGACATTATCAGAAAAGTGAGACGGATGATGACTTGAAAACAAACTGCTGGTAGCATAAAGTTTGTGTTTTTTTTTTTTCTCTGTTTTTTTTTTAGGGGAGGTCAACAATGCACAAAACAACTTCATTTTGTGCATTGCACTATCACCCTAGAGGAAAAACGCACACCAAAGGATCTGAACTCACAAATAACCCTAAACCATGCATATACAAAATTTGCATCTTGTTTAAGGGTAATCAATGACTCAGGTTGGACCTACCCAGCGCGCAACTACTATTCCCAGGTCCCATTTATGGACTGGACTTCTTAGGCTATGATTAGTTAACAAGTCAAACATTTAATATTTCTATTATTATTTTTTTCATTTTTTATTTCCCAACATATTTCAACTATTTCCATTATTATTTTTCTTTTCTTTTTTACATTTCTCATACAATCAACTCACTACAGGAATTATGAGTTTTGACGAGGTTTATTTAACGGTATTTTATAAAACGTCACATTTTGTCATATTTAACGGCATTTTTTAAACGTCGTTTTTTTTTAATATTGAAACAGCACCGTTTCAATATTTGAAGGCATTTAGAAGTGCCTTCAAATGTCCTCTCCCCTATATGGGCAAGCTGGTGAATTCGTTCACTCATCAGTCTCTCCTTCGCTCTCTCTCTCTCTAAACAGATGCCCTAATCTCTTCCAGCAAAATGTAGGCATTTTCAGAATGACCATCAAAGAAATTGGTTTATCTGATGCTGCATTGGATGCACTGGTGCAGTGTTTTTCCAGAAAACCTTCTGAAATCAAGGTATTCAGTATGCCCTTCATGTGAGACTTTCGTTGGTCTTAATTCTAGTGTCTATTGAATAAATGTTTTTGCTTTTCTGTGGTGCTGCTCAGTCTTCTCCCATTTTTATCTAATAAAACTGGTCATAGTGAAAACTCTAGTCCAGCTGTTTCCCATTTGTTTTGTGCTGGCTTGACAGAGATATGAACCACCATCAAACATCTCATACAGGAGAGATATACAAAGTTCTTAGTAAGGGAGAGAATTTTGTGGAGGGCCCTAGGAATTCATTTCTTGATAAAGATCTTGAAGCAGCTCTTGATTCTTTTGACAACCTGTTTTGTCGTCGATGTCTTGTAAGCACCACTTCATGCTTTCTAATTCTCTATATTGTTTAGTGCCATTGTCCTATAACTACCTCTGTACTCTTGCTATTTTTGTTGGCAGCTCTTTAATTGTAGGCTGCATGGATGTTCCCAGGATCTTGTCTTTCCAGTAAGTTGGTTACTTGATTTTGGTTATCATTGCTATAAAAATTGTAGTTGTCTACTATTTCTGAGGACTTTTTATTCAGTAATTTATCAATTGTCAGGCTGAGAAACAACTTCCATGGAGCTTTCTAGACGAGGAAAATATATCATGTGGTCCGCATTGCTATAAACTGGGAAGGGTGACTATTTAAAATAACATTCAGTAGCTTGAACTTCTCATATTTATTTTTGTTATCTATTCATTGCACATCTTTTATTGGCTTTGTTTTTATTATTATTATGTTTTACGATTGGCAGAGACCGAGAGACTGAAGGCCATGGGAAGCAGCATGGAGAGCAATTTAGAATAACGGTGAAGAATGGATGGGGGTTGGGTGTTCACTTTCTTCTAATTTTTTGTGTTAAAATCCTTTGGATTTTTATTTCTCTTCTTTTTTCTTTTTTTCCTCTGATCTGACTGGGGGGTTGGGTGTCTTAGTTCACTTTCTTCTTTTTTTGTGTGTTAAATGGGGGAGTGGTGAGAGAGAAGAGGGTAATATTCTTTTGTGGCTTTGTATATGAGGTAATAATTTTTTGATTGAGAATTGTGAATTCAATTTTTGGATATGTTATTTTGTGGGTAATAGTGATTGGATATTAAATTGAATGGGAAAGTGAATTAATACTATATTTGCTATTTGAATGAAAGTTATTATTTCATATTAGTGCTATTTAGTTTAATTACATGTGTTCTTTTAGTTCAATCACATAAAATTAGCACAATTTCAAAAAAAAAAAAAATAAATAAGACGGCGTTTCTAAAACACCACTATAACGGTTGGAATTTTTAAAATTAAAAAAACATATGGCAGCGTTTTAAAAACGTCGCCAAAACTATAGTGACGTCACAGTACCGTTTGGGTAGGATATTTGGCGGTGTTTTAAAAAACGCTGCCTATACTAATACAGCGATGTTTTCCAAACGCCATAACGTTATAGCGACGGCCACGTTATCGGCGTTTGGTACTAAACGTCACAAAAAGAATTAGCGACGTTTTTAGTACCTATAACAGCGTTTTTTAAACGCCGCTAAAAGGCTAATTTCCAGCTTTGACTATCGATCTTGTAGCATAATTTATATATTAAAAAGTTTTGGCAGTGGGTTCTTTTGAGTTAAAGAGCCCTTTGGGCTCTCTTTAATTTCATGATAATGGATTTAAATGAATAGGCACTCAAAATTGGGCAAATAAGTAACTCAATGGACAGTATTGAGTTTGTGCACCAGAATTGTTACTGATTAATGAGATGGTCGAGTTGAGCTTGCCCATACAGGCTTTTACAGACCGGACTTATGAGTGGACTTGGATTACAAACCCTTAACCAAAGTCTTTAATCATATTTTATGAGTTAAGAGTAAGGTTCTGAAAAGTGGTTGCGGTCGCCGTAATGGTAGCGGTGGCGCAGTTGCGGTTGCGGGGTGTAAAGGCCGTAGCGTAACGGTTGCAGTAACCGGAACCGTGAATTTTTTTATTTTTTGCACAATTTGAAAAAAAACTTACCGATATGCATATATTTTTCCATGATTATATTTATTGGGTTAAAAATAAATATTGATCAATTTTTATAAATTTTTAAGTATGATCCAATATATTTCATATTTTGAAATCATTATAAACTGAGATTTTTGCATTTTATTTTAATAATTAATGACTTTATATTATACAAAAAATCAATTACTAACTATTATATATAAGATAAAGAATGACAAAAGTAAGAGAATAAATAAGAGCCTAAATATATATATATATATACATATTTTAACCAATCCAAATAGATAATGACCACACTTATTATTATTGTTATTATTATTATTATTATTATTATTATTATTATTATTATTTTCAAACAATATATATATAGACACACACAAACAAAATGGTTGAGTGATAGCAACTCAATAGAATAGCATATGTCTTACAGCTTCAACAAGTCAATAACATGTTCTTTATCTTCCCTCTTCTCTCTCTCTCTCTATCTCTTGCTCCTCCATTTTCTCTCTTCATCTTCCCTCTTCTCTCTATCCCTCTTCTCCCATTTTCAGCTTTTTTTTTTGTGTTTTTTCGAAAGAAACAGTTTGGAACTGTTACATAACGGTGCGTAACAGGCCGTTACGACACCGTTACGACCGCTACGGTAGCCGCTACGGCCGACACACCTGTGAATCTCAATCACACTGCAAAAGCGGCCGTAACGGGTGGCGGTAACCGCCAAAACTGTTACGTAACGGCGTTACGTAACGGTTGCGGTCACTTTTTAAAACCTTGGTTAAGAGGGATTAAGCACTGAAGCGGACCAAACCAGATAGTGAAAAAAGTGAGCCAAACTGGGTAATATCTGGTTTTCTATCCTCAGGCCACTTCAAATAAAACATTACTATGTCCAATTAACAATTGCAATGGCCATAGTTGTCACACACAATCCAACAAAAATCTCTAACTTCTCAGATCAGATTAACAGCTTTTCTACACAATGTGTCAACCATATAATTCCCTTAGCTCTTATTTACATTGTTCGAAACAAGTGATGAATATATTGCACCAAAAGCAACAATTCAGTCAAGAGTAATTGCAAAATTTCTGCAAAAATAGGTGTATCTTCACAAAATAAGTCAAAACACATATTTCATTTAGTTAAAAAAAAAAAAAAAGGCCAAATGTTAAATTTCATGGGAGTTTAATTTAGTTACATCAAAATTGTAGAACTTATTATATTTTTTTCACATCTTAAAGGAGGTCAATATAATATATCCTAAAAATAAATTGTTTTAGAGTACTGTACTATTCATACCAACTCTAACTACACATCTCATTATATAATTTATTCTTCAAAACAAATTTTTTATTATCTTAAATTTTTATTTTTAATTTTTTATTAAATATAGTTAACATTAGACTCATTTCAAAGGTGTCATTTGATATCTTTTCAACCTTATTAATTTAATAAAAAATGGATAAAAAACAAAAGAAAATTTTACTTGAATACAAGTTTAAAAAAATAATTATAAATAAATGATAGATATTAATAATTAAAATAATAATTTTTTTTGAAAATTAAAAAAAAAAACGAGAGGCCATAATCAATTATTTAGTCAAATTATAACCTTATATTCAACCCCATAACCATTTCCACAACATATACTTGGAAATCCCTCTTTTGATTTTACAACCCAAACACTAAGTTTGTCCATAATACACCCAAAGCCTACCATTGTTACACAATCATCAAATAACTAAGTTAAAAACCATGTGAAAGTGTAAAAAATCCTTACCTCAAGCTTAGAAGACCAAAGCAACAAAGAAGAAGCTTCAAAGACGCCGAAACCAACTTCTACTCGAATCAAAACGGAGCTCTTGAGACGCGCTACCTTTTTCTCAAAGGCACTAGGGTGAAGATCCCAATGGATCTAGATAAAATGTAGAGAGAATATGAGTTTCAGAGAGAGAAACTTAAGATTTAAGGTTTTGGAGAGTTTTAGAGAGAGAGAAGTGAAAAAGTGATGAAAAAGGTCATCATTGCTATCTGTTATACACGCAGTCGGCTCAAGCATGGAAAGTAACGCTCGAGCATCAGACACAATGTTTCGCTCGAGCGCAAGAAGTGACGCTCGAGTGTCGAATACACACTTTCAGAAGTTTTGCAGATAAAGGACATCGCTCGAGCGCAAGATTGGACGCTAGAGCGTCCACCCGCTTGAGCATAGATAACACCGCTCGAGCGTAGAATACACTATTTCAGTACTTGCAAGTCTACAAAAATATTGAGAGTTTGCTATGCCCGCTCGAGCACAAGAATTGCCGCTCAAGCGGAGGAGCAAAATTGTACAACCTGCTCGAGCGTAAGAATAGTCGCTCGAGCGGAGGAGCAAAAATCTAGGCAAAAAAGGTTTGGAAAAACAAGCAACCAACCTGTTTCAACACACACAACTACAATCCAAATGGCCAATCCAAGGAACAACATAGGGAATAAGAGATGAACAACAACATTGAACCATGAAACCCGAGTCCGGAACATAATAAAATGTCAGGTCAAAGCCGAAGTCACTATAAGTGTTTATTTTATAATCTTATAATTTAATATATATATATATATATATCATACAAAATCATTATATGGTAATCCAACTACAATATATTTATATTTAATTTTTTTAATAAATGTTATATAATTTTTATTTCTACATATTTTTATTTTTCAAATGAATAAAAAAGAAAATTAAATAGTTAAAATTCTTTTTAATTTTATGTTACTAATTGTTCTTCTAATTTAACTATTATTTTTAATATCAAAATAAGTATATATTTACCATTTTATAATATATATCATACCAAATTATTATATGATAATTACACTTTTATAATACAATAGAAGTAAAATTATAAAAATACACAAATAATTTAACTAAAATTAATATATATAAGTGTTCAAGTAATAATTTTATAGAACAATAGCGTCAATATTATCAAAATAAATAATTAAAATCATCCTTTAATTTTAATTATTTAAAATTAAAATTATTCTTTGATAACACACGTTGTATCATCAATTTTTTTTTAAAAAAACAAAAGGAAAAAGGAAAAAAAGAATAGCACGCGCATTGCACAGATCAACTGCTAGTTAATAATAATAGTTAAATTGGAAAGGAAAATAGTAACATACAATTAAAAGTGATTCTAATTATTTATTTATTTTTGTTTAGTTGGAAATAATAAATAAATAAATAAAAAGTATGAATGGAAGTTATATAAAAAATATTTTTAAAAATTAAATATAAGTATACTGCGGTTAGATTAAGAAAAAAATAGATAGATTAATTATGTTGAGTATTGATTTTTTTTTAATATCTATTTTAAAATTGTTTATACATATTATATATATATGTATATTAAATTTATAAAATTTAAATTAAATATAAGTTTTTCCTAATAAACAACTTCATGTTAAATAGGAAACTCAATATAAATTAATAATAAAATATAAATAAGATAGACAAAAAAATAAGAAATATATTTAATTTTAATATAAAAATTGAATACTTGAATAAAAGTGAAAAAAGTAGAAGAAAATTAATTCGTAAAGTATTTTTTAGTACATATAATTATTTTAAATTTTATTTATATGTAGTTAGATTAAGTAGAAATCTTGTAAATATTAGATTTAAGAAATAACTAAGTATGTTACATAACACTTTTAAAAATATATATATATGCCACATGGGAGAAAGAAAAATTTCGATGGTAAACACTACTTTTATATATAGGGGAATTTTTTTAAGGTCCTGATATTAAAGATTTTATAAAATAAAAGATATACAATATTTGTATAGTAATTAAGATCCCTCAACATTTTTACAGAGAAAATTCGACTCAGAGAAATTTTGCCCGACTTAGAGATTCACAGAGAAATTTCTCTAATTTCACGAAGAAATTTCGAAATTTCACTAAGTCAGATGAAATTTCTCTGAGTCAAATTTTCTCTATAAAAATATTGAAGGACCTCAGTGTAACAACCCTGACCTGTGATTAACCATGATAAATTATGCCTAATAAGTAATCAAGAAGAAATCTTGAGTTAATTGCATGTGTTATGTGTTATACGAGTTTTTATCTGTC